TTTTTTTTTTTTTTTTTTTTTTTTTTTTTTTTTTTTTAGCTTAATTGAATTGAACTAAATATCCTTTTTCTATTCGAACAAGTGAAAAGAAACACATTTTTCTCTATTCATGTAAAATGTTAACGAACTTAAAAGCCTATTTAATTTCTTTAAGAAATTTTAGGTCACAGCATTGCAAGCTCATGTGAATCAATATTAATTAAGGTAATTCCCACAACAATTATCTAAATATTAGTCCTTGGTTTTTGACCTTGATTTCTGGTCAAAAATTAAAGCCGCGAATTTACGATTCCCGCTACATTATGGCTAAGACCTTACGGGGCAAGTAGATTCCAGGGCGAACATATCAACAGCTTTTAATTAAAATTACCTTGCGTATGTGTAACTAACTGAGGTATGTAAGCAAATTGGTTTTAGATTCCGCGTTAGGACTTTTCCTAGCTATTGAGGAATTGAAATATTTTCAAACTTTACCTTAAAGATAGGTGAGCTCTCTCTGCTTTCATTTCGCTTTTCACAACCTGCAGACAGACATAGGAATGATTATGTTGAGCAATATGAATTTTGCAAAGACTAAGCTAGAACCATAGTACATCCCTACAGGATGTACTTTAGTTGCGGCTTTTATAAATCGAGTGGTAAGCAACAAGTTTGTGAGATTTTTTACATTTCAGTAATCGATATAACTATATATGTTTTTTTTTTTTTTTTTTTTTTTTTTTTTTTTTTTTTTTTTTTTTTTTGAGCTAAGCAGGCCTTCATTGAAATCTATTCTTCAAAGTTAAGAGTAATTTCTTGAATTTGATATATGGTTTCGGCTATTTTTGACGGCCGGGCTTTTTTTTTCTACATGAAGACTTTTGTAAATTCTCTTATTTAAGACTTGTATCCATTTTATGTTCTTCTTTAAGGACACAATATTGCTTCACTAAAAGTCAATTGTAGCGAGAACAGACAAGCCTGCCAGTATAATATCATATATAATTTTAATTGTGGATCGTTTATAATGATAACTCTTGCTCAGTATATCTGTCAACTTTTTTCACAACAACAACAAGCACAAGTATTCTGAAGTATTATAAATTTAACATTGACAGTTCTTCTTCATTTACATATATACTGTGTCATGATATTTCCCCAAGGAAGAAAACAAAAATTCAGAAAATTGTCTATTGATACTCAAAGCATATGGCGTAGGTTTACATTGAGTAGACGGGCTCCAAGGCTTTCCTCACATTCTTTTTCTTCTTTCTTCTTTCTTTCTTCTGCAAACTGCATAGGTTTATATAAGGAATATTAAATTGTCTCCATGACTTTCTTATTATCTTTTTTTTCTTCTCTTTTTCGTCTGCATACAGCTTAGGTTTATGTACGGAATATAATATTGACTAAACGCTCCCCAAAGCTTTTCTGGCTTTCTTTTTCTTCTTTCCTTGTTTTAGCCATGATCCCTGTTGTTGAAATTCCCGTATGACCGTTCTGCACAAATGTGCTTGAATTTCACTAATTCAGCGCTAAAATACCTTCTTTAAGACGTTGACTGTGGTAGACATGGCAGCATCTAAAACTTAGACTTCGAAAACCCCCCAAAGGAAAAACAGGCTAACAGGCTTACATCGTTTGATTTCGATGGCGGCCTGGTTCTGCTGTGGTTTTAAATTAAACCACCCGGAATTGAGTCACGCACTGCCGTATTGACATCTTATCTCTTTGACATACATAGTACAGAAAAATTGATATTCATGTCGCGATAGCGACCACTTATAGCTGTCAGCCCAACCGCATTTTCGAAGAAAATGGGTCGATGCCAAGACAAGAAGAAAAAGTAGGAAAGAAAACAGCCAAAGATTAAAATCTTTTTTAATTGAAAGCGGAATTCGGTTCAACTAAATTTTGACATTACATTTGTTGATCATACAACAAAAACTTTTTTCTTCCGCCTTTATCTACAATTCTCCTTAATTAACAACTTGTCATTGCGTATAAAGGATTTGCAAAATATAAAAAAAATAAAATAAAATGACAAAAAATGATTTACCGTTTGTTTGCTGGAAGGCAGCTTGAAAACACTTGGGTTTACTTGGCCACGAAAGCCTGAAATCTGTATAAACACTACACTAGACATCATTTCAGATAACCTAAGCAGAAGGAAGACGATATTGTTTGGTCTGTTGAAGTTAATATTATAATAAATCAAATATTGCCGGGAACAATGGATTTACTACAACAATGCTTTCCATTTTTTAGTTTTATTAAATTTTGAAAATCACCTTTTTCTCCACAAGTTTATACGGATCCTAACCCCAAAATAAGTTGCATGAGAAAATTCACTTCAGAATCTAATCCTACCTAACCACAAATAATTAACGTCATCGAGGCTATTCTTTACTAACGCTGTAAAGTTATGGAACTCATAACCACTCCATTCGGAAGGATTGTTAATCCGAGTAGATTTAAAGTGGCTATAAAAGCTTTTCATAATTGATGATAACATCGAAAACTTGACTTCATGTCTTATATTCTACGATATTGTTATGTTATGTTACTTACAACTCTACCTACCTACTGTTGTTCACTATTTTGCCAAAAAAGAGAGACTTTTCGTAGTCTTACACCAGCGCATTAATTATTAATCGTAGTAATGATTATTATTGTGTAACGAAATTGTCATTAATAATTCTTACTGTTAATTAATAAATTAAACTTAAATAAACAAATAAATAAAATAGATGATCAAGTAATATCAATATAATTAGAATATTATTGCCATGAATATTCGAGTTTTTCCTTCTTCTCTTGCCATATTTTAAATGAGAAACGATTTAGCAGATGCGATATACGATATCCCATGCTACAAACACGATTAAGATTTTATCATTACAACATGTCGTAAGGTTTTGTTGAAGAACGAATTGATTCAATCCATCAAGGAAATATCATTTGTTATTATGTAACATTTATACGATATAAGTTTAAATATACGATATTCAAACGTATTGTTATAAAGGGTGGAAACATTCATGTGTTTGTTGTAAGCCCTATTATATAATATTGTAAAAAGTAGCGTATTGTAATTTATTTCATATTATATATATATATATATATATATATTTGTCGTATCAATGCGAATCGACCTTATTAGAGTATTTCATTTACCCTCAACCTCATTCTAGCCGATGTGTATTTCTGCGCCTTTGTCCCTGTCGTGTAAAGTGATTTTACTATACATATATTATATATATAAATACTATAGTATATACATATATATATATATATATATATATATATATTATTAATAATAATTTCGGATGTTATTGGATTTTTCTGGGTCATGGTCTAAATTTTATTTTTTTTTTTTTTATTCTTCTTTCATTTTTAAAAAAAAAAAATTTATTTTTTTTTCTGTATTGTAATATATGTACGTACGTAACTTGGTATAGAAGCGGCAGCAGCAGCAGCAGCAGCAGCAGCAGCAGTGATAGTATTATTAAAGTAACGTGCCACTCTTTATACTAACACTAATAAATATATCTCTCACTTACGCTCGCCTAACGCTTGTTGTCATTGTATGTAACATATGCAAAAAAAAAAAAAAAAAAAAAAAAAGAAAGAAAGAAAAAAAGCCTTACCTACGATTACTCTGTAAATTCGTTGTTTCTTTATGTGTACAAATAAGCGCACATACACGTTATAGTTTAAAATTGTGTATCATACGAGAATGTATTTGTGCGTGAATATAGACGACTTATAATGTTTTTCCTCTGCGAGTAGACAGAGTTCCTTGATGGCTGACCTCAATATTTTTTTTTAATTTTTTTTTTTTTATAATTTTTTTTTTTTTTTTTTTATGAACGAACTGATGATGTTGATGATGATGTTGAATTGTGTCAAATTGTAAATGTTGTTGAGAAGCAGCAGCGAGATTTTTGCCTTATTTGTTATTGTTGTTGTTGCATGTCTAGAGATGTAAATAAATGTTTATAGAGTAGCATATGCGTACCTTTAAGTGTATAATATGGTGTTTTAAAATACTTGAAATTAATTAACCTTTTGATCTAAACATTTCTATACGCATCGTACGATGCATATTTTGTTGTTGTTATTTGCAGTCACCATACATTCATTCTAGTTAAAGGAAAAAGCAAAATATAGAGAGTGCAAGAGACAGAGAGAGGGAGAGAGAGAGAGAGAGTGGGAGGATAGATATAAACCGTGGGAGAGGAGATGAAAGAAAGAGAATTTTTTTTCTTTTTGTGTATAGTGTGAATGAATGCAATGCAATGCCATAGAGTGAATGCCTTAAATGACCTTATTTCAACTTCCGCATAACGGTAAATTGATTTTGTATAAAATTTTAATGCACACATACACACAAACATTCCTACATAGAACCAATAGAGGTTATTTAGCACTTAGTGTAGAAAACGCTTGCATATGCTGCTGTTGTTGTTGTAGTAGTAGTACACACATCTAACTGAATTCAGTCAAATCCTTCATAACCAATCTAAAATTTATCGTGAATTTTTGTGGTTTAAAAAAACAACAATAACATATTTAT